CGTCGTCCTGGTGCGCCTCTTCGACCGCACGGGCGCGGACACGCGCCGCTTCACCGTCCGCATCTACCGCGCGAACGGCAGGAGCGTTCTCCGAAAGCTCGACTCGGGCGACGGCCGCGAGGACCAGCCCGTCGTCGGCGGCACCACCGCCGTCGCGCCACGCGCGACGTACACGATCACCTCGGCCGCCGAGCGCGCGATCACGACCGCGGCGGCGCACTGAGTCCGCTTTTCGCGCGCGTTTCGCCCGCGGGCGTCGTTTCGCGCGCGCGCGCCACACCACCGACGCCGTCCCATCCGAGCCCCTGGCCGACGCCGTCCCTCGCGGACGTCCCCGGACTGGGGCGGACGCGTCGTGACCGCCCCCGGGACCACCCGGTATCGTTAGCAATTGTTTCGTACTTCTGGGGGGGGTCGACCGTGGTCAGAGCCAGCTTTGGTTGACAAATTAAAGCGGACACTTTTGTGCACCCGCCTGCGGGCCGACCTTGCCCCGCTCGGAGAGCGGTTCAAGAGACCTCGAACCGAGCGCGCGCGCTTGGCCGGGGGTCCGCAGGCGGGTGACTTTTGTGTAATCGAAGTACACAGCTCGCTCGCCATGCTCGAGGCCTTCGACGCACCCGACAGCAAGATCGCCGGCGCAATCCTCCTGTACTAGCATTGAATAGTGGATGCGCTCAAATTATTTTAGTTGATCGCGGCGTGTGTACGTACACAGCATGAATGTTCCAAGAGCGCAGCTCGCGCAGTCGAACGGGATACAGTTACGCAATGCAGCAAAGAAGGTCATCGATGAGGTGAATAATCTACGCCTGTGGCGCGGGCTTGAAACGAGTGAGATCGATGGCACTGCGTGCTGGAGAGAGATCGGGCGTCGTTGGCTGCCAGCACTTTTAGGCGTGCTTGATGCGCTGCGTGCGGCTCGTCAAACTAGTCCTATTGGTGTTGACAGTCACCACCCGCCCCCCGCACCTCGGGATACGCTGTCGTTACAAGAGCTAACGGCTATTTATACAGCCCTGGAGCTAGTGGCGATGTGGGGTGTGGCCCCACTAGTAGTCGATGGCGTGCGACCTATAGAACGGACGTACTCACGGGCGGTACAGATCCCCGACGCAGTGCGGAGGTGGGGCTTACGGAATGCGGTAGCTGCGCGGGAACTATGGGCGATGACGTGCGTGCTGGACCGTGCAAACGTTCTACAGCTCATTTCGGACATACTTCTTGAGATCATTTCTTCAGGCCCGTTGGCCCCTATTGCAAGTCGGTTTGCGGTCGATGCTTTGGCTGCGTGCCTTTCTGCGCGTGAGCTCCGAAACAGCAATGCGACAAGTCTTTACCTCGATCGGATCCCGCTTCCTTGGGCATGTGCGGCCATACGGGAATTGCTCGGTGGTTATTCAGAGGAAGCAGAAACTGTAGTTCCGGCGCCTAGCTGGTGTGGTAGATACTGTGGGATACTACTTGGAAACGTGACGAAACGAAGTGTGGACTGCATTCTCAAAGAGTTTGCTGGCGTGTCTTCGGCGCACCAATCAAATAATTGAATCTCCATCGAATTCACTTCGATTTGTTACCAATTTCAATCGATGACTGCTAGGTCTGGATGAATTATCGGCATGTCAGTCAGCTCAGGCTGGGAGAGCAGAGAGTAGGGTCGCCGCAGCAGTTGCTGCTTCACCATTAGGTGGAGACGCCACATTTTATGCGCGTGCTGTTGCTCCTCAACTTGCCTCACTGCTGATTTTTAACACGAGGAAAAATGTGGTCGACTTTCCAGAGCTAGTGGCACAGAGTCGTGTTGGTTTGGACGCGCTCGCTCAGCTCCATGAGCGGGGATTTTCAAAGATTGTAGTTGCGTCGCTACTCGGACAATTTGGGGGTGTTACGGATGAAACTGGAGTAGCTCGGGGACTTTGTATTCTCAGATCGCTCTCGCGACACGCTCTACCAGGCTTTGGGGGAAAACTATCATTAGATTCCAAGCTCCTAGAGTACCTCATTTGCCTCGTCAACTTCGCACAGAACTCCAACAGAAAGGTATGTGCTAAGGACGTGGCGCTGATACTGAGATATGTTTTACAGTCATCAATAAATCCCGAAGCGTTGATTTTTGACGCGATGACCAGGCCACGGACAATACGCTTTGAGTCTAGGCTGCAAGGAGGGATCGTTGCCGTCGAAAGTGACGAGATTCAGGACATTGACGTCACCATTCTGATCGAAGCATTGGATAGTCCAAAGCTCCCAAGTTCTCTTTTGGCCTTATGTTTGTACAAGTTCCTCGAGTGGCGGCGACAGAGACAAGCTTCTGACCTTTCGCGCATTCGTCCAACGCTTAAACTTGCGGCTGATCTCTCGACGCACCTTGACACGGGTACTATGTTTGCGCCCGGTGCAGATCTCATTAGGACAGTAGGCCTCTTACTTTCTGATGCCGCTGACCGCATTCATGCATCCTCTTTGAACCTCAAGCCCAATGTGAATGAGGAGGAGGATAATTGCTCTCTGGAAACAGTGGCTTTGAGCACACTACTAAGCATCCTGGAATCTGGTGTGCTTGAGCGCAGTATAGAACATGAAACGGCATTGAGGGCGCTCTTGCCGTCACTCACGTTACTTAGTTGCCCACGCTACCATGATGCTGAAATTTCCAAAGCTGCTGTTCAGTGTCGAGCGATTATATTCTCCCGAGGCTGCCAGGTGATGCATTCTCAAGTCAAGTCTGACTCAGCAAGCCATGCGTCAGAAGCCATGCTCGCCGAAATTGCTTTGGATATATCGTCTCCTTTGCCCGCACTCCGAGCATTTTGTGTTGTTCGACTCGGCAAGCTCTGTAAGCACTACACTCTCAATCGGGACCGGGGGCATGTGCAAGAGATGAGTAGCAGGCTATCAAAGCCAATTCCCTGGTTGAAACTTGCGGATATTCTTCTCAAGGCGCTCGAGGACCAGGAGTCCTACGTGTACCTTGCTGCAGCACATGCTCTTGCCGCTGTGGCTGACACAAGTCCCAGGGAAGTGTTGCCCTGGTTCTTGCAGTCTTTTTGCTCTTTGAGCAACGACGTTATTAAGACGAGGCTCGGCGAAACCCTCATGATCACAATTCGCCGAAGAGGCGAGGCTGCACCTGCATATGCACAGATTGTTGGGGAGTCGCTCTGCTGTGGTGCCCGTCATGATCAGCCCGTCGCCACACGCATTGCGAATCTTTCCCTCCTGGGCGAACTTTGTGGCGTTGTTGGAATAAATGTCCATACCTTTGCTATCGACCTATGTAATTTAGTGTCCAGTATCCTCGTCTCCACGGATGTGACCTCTGATGTACGACGCGCTGCTTCTTATCTCGGCTACCGCGCCATAGCCGGCTGTGGCCAAGCCCTGATTATGAATGTTCCAAGAGACTGTGCCAGTATGTGCAAGCGCCTGCGCGTCCATGCTCTGAATTCTGCTGACGACGTCACAAGACTTCACGCAAATAACGCGCTGCTTGCCCTCGATACTCTGCTTTCCGGCCTCCTTGACGTCAAACAAAACGGCTCACTGGAAAGAGGAGAACTTGCTCCAATATATCGCGATGTCTGGTTCCATGGCGGCTTCCCGGCCCGCGGAAAATTCGACGTGTTCTAGTTCGAACCCCCCCCCCCCCCCCCCCGAATGCGGGAAATTCGACACCTCCGCCTTCGGGGCCCGCCCGGCAAGGTGAAAAGCAAACGAGCTCGCTGTGCCGGTAGCCGCGCCGGCGCAGAGACGGCCTCCCCGGGGTGTGCCGGCACAGTCGAATCCGGCTTGTGCCGGCACATTCCGGTGTGCCGGCACACCGCGGGCGGTCCGCGGAAACGCGTCTATGCAAGTTTGGAGCTATAAAACGCATAGTTACTTCTGCGCAGGGCCCCGGTTTCTCGCAGCATCGGGAGTCGTATATCATCGTCCCTACCAATTCCCTTTAGAGGGGCTCTCGGTTGGTCGGTCGCCGCAGCCGCCGCCGCCGCCGCCGCCGCCGTCGCCGTCGTCGTCGTCGCCGCCGTCGTCGTCGTCACGCGCGCGTGGAAATTTGAACCCACAATCAAGAAAAAAGGATGTCCGGACGTAGCATTTTATTCCGTCCGAGGGACGAATTCGTACATAAAGCACACGAAACGACCATTGACCCAGGGGCTGCCCCGTCGGACGCGAAGATCGCGACCGGAACACTATGTAACGCGACGCGCGCACGATGTCATGACGCTGAAACGCACTGTGTCATGGCATGATGTTCAAAGCGACTCCGGGCCCGCCCCCTGGGCCCCGGTCGTAGCCATGACGTGCACAGGGGCGCTTCAAGCAAATCAATTCAGCGTCCAAGGGTTAGAATGTGTTCCCGCTGTGCCGGCACACGCCCAGGCCCCGGCCCCGTCGACTTTGGGCCCGACCAAACGTGCCGGCACACCGACAAAACGCCATTTCTGGTTGTGCCGGCACACTTCGCTTCGCCAGATCTGCCGGCACACTGTGCCGGCACAAGATACACCCAGCAGGGGGTAGACGCGCGCGGAATTTTTTTCGGGTCTCTAGCCTCCCTTA